GGGGTGGGGCTGGTGCCTCTGCCCAGAATGGAGGGTCTTGTGGATGAAGAGGGGCCATCCAGGTGGATGGCGGGCCCCCTCCCCGCCTCAGTCTCCCTCCTGGCAGCAGGGCACTGGAGGCTGCAGTACAGAACAAAGGGTGTCCGTGGGGACCCCCATAGATGGGGTGGAGGTGTGAGATACTGGAATGAGCAGAGGCTCCCTGCATGGGCCAGGGCAGAGGACATCAGCCCAGAACTTCAGAGACGCTGTGGGGAATCCACCAAGTAGATGGTGCCGTCCATGCTGCACTCACAGCCCAGGACCTGCTCAAGGGAAAGGGCCAACCGGGCAGACCTCGTCCCCTCTGGGGGCCCCAAATCTGGAGCTGTCTGGGAGGGGCCCTGACTGGTACCATCTAGGAGGCATGTGGGGCCTCGCTGCTCCCTCTCATCACAACGTCTCAACACCCCAAAGTCTCAGTGTGGCCAGACACCCTCCACAACTGCCCCACCCCAGGACAGCCAGCTGGACTGGGTAGATGACCCCACGGCCACGGTGCAGAGGGCGTGGTCTCGACCTCAGAGACAGGCTCTAGAAAGGGTCCGGCCTTCCAGGTCACTGAGCGGCCCTGGTGGGGTCTGCACCAGCAGTTTTTCGCCTCTCCTGCCCTCCCCACCCACAGCTCTCACCCACAGGGAGGTGGGCAGCCCCAGTACCTGACAAGGCCAGACCAAAGGGCCTGGCAGCCCCCCAGAGGGCAGGGCAGGAAGTGAGTGCTGGAGCCAAAGATGGGCGAGCAGTGATGGAGAGCGGGTGTGAGTGTGTGGTGTGTGGGTGGCTGTGTGGACAGCCAGGGGCAGACAGGAAGGGGCTGGGTGACCACCTGGGCCTGGGAAAGGGTGGCCTTTAAGCCTCAAACCCTGGAAAGTGGCTAAAACTGTCTGTATGAACAGCCACACAACCCGAGGGGTGCCACCTACGTGGGACGCCATGCAGTCCACATTCCCAGGGCAGAGGTGGAGCTGAGGGGTGCTGGGCTCCGCCCCTCCAGGGTCCACCCTGCCTTTCCCACTCACCGGCCCAGCTCACCTTCAGCGCTGCTCTCAGGGCGGAGGCTCTTCTTGGCGACCTCGGCCAGTGCCCCAAAGCCCAGACCCACAGCCAGACCTGCAAGGAAGAGGGTGCGGGCCTCAGACGTAGGGGTCCAGGGCTGCCCACTCATCCAGCAGGCCAGAGCAGCAGCAGACATACTACAGCTCACAGGGACCCTCGCTGGCCCTCCAGCATTTTGAAAAGTGGGGGAAGGTGGAGTTGCACTTGTGTGGTTTGAAGGGAACATTCAGCTCCAGGTAGGTGTTTCCCATGAAAAAGCTTCTTGCACCCCTAACTTCCACCATCACCTTGGGGTTCCCAAACCACCCTGAAGTACCGTACGTTGGTAAACACACTGGGAAGGGCCTGGCACAGAAGAGCAGATGCACCAGAATGTCTGTGGGTCAGGATGTCCCTGCAACACCAGGCAGCCCTGGAGCTCAGCTGCTCAAATCTACACAGAGCCTCCGGGGCCTACGATTCTCAGGACCAGAAACAGCAGCGCAGCAGCGCGTGGCCGTCGGAGGTGGGGACTGCACCACTGTGTGAAGTAAAAGGTGTCCCCCGTCCCAGCCCACAGGGACTCACAGGCACTCAGGCTGCAGCCCCAGTCTGGCCCCCCTTGCCCTAGGGCAGCCAGCACTGGCAGTGGTCAGAGCACAATGGGTTCCAGGCCCTCTCTTCCTCTTTCATAATCTTCTATCAATAAATCAAGGTTCATTTAACACCTCATCTGTCCAAAACTCAATCACTGGTTGGTCCCAACTGCTCAGGAGAGCCTCCCTCTGTCCCTCAGAAGCCCAGCAGGTGTCATCAATGCCAAGAAGCCTCACTCTGGGCCTATTTCCTCTTATTTTATTCATTTTTAAAGATCCTTTGCCATGGGGCACATGTGCTTGCCAGAGATAGAGGGAAAGTGAGAAATCAACCCCGCCCCAGGGGGATAGCCACGCCACAATCCCTTCCCCATTCTCCTCTGGAGATTTTGAGCATGCACACACGTCCAGCATGTTTTCCAGGCCACCAGGTATGGGACTCAGACTCGTGGAATCGACCATGTGAGACCCAGCACATTAATCACCATGCCACCTGCTGGCCCCCCTCTTACTTTGAAAAAGAAGCACAACTTTTTACTATTATTGATCATAATAGAACATTCATGTGTGCACACATGTGGATGGGGAGGGAGTGGAACACCCTCAAGTCTTGTCAGGCCTCAGTCCCCTTCTCCAAATCTTCCCACTCCTCGGCATCTTGGGGATGTGTGTGACCACTCGGTGTGTTTCAGGCTGACAAGGAAGGGAGTCCAAACCCACGGCTGGCCACATGACTTCCAGCACAGTGCACAGTGGCTGGGCCTCTCTTTAAATCCAGTTCTAGCAAGCTTCCGAGGACAGGCACGTGGGTACCAGAGAGGAGTGAGACCATGTGGATGGGCACGCTGACCAACCAGAAGGGAGGATATCAAAACCACCCCGATGAGCCCCCCAGAGAGAGCACACAGCCCCCACCTGGGCACTGTTCGGAAGGTGGGCAGGCAGACATGACATGCTGTGTGACAGGCAAGGGAAACTGTGCATACTGCTTTATTTTCCACATTCCCTAAAATTACATATTATTTTTATAAAAACTATCGAATAAAAAATCTATAAAAAAATAGATTTTATGGGACCAGCAGTTGGTGTAATGGCTATGTTGTTGGACTCCCATGTAGTCAACAGCAGTTCAAGTCCCAGACCCGGTGGCTTAAACTCACGCTGGGCGCGTGTGCATGAGTGCCCAAGATCCCAAGAGAAGAGTGGAGGAGAAGGGACTGTGGTGTGGCCATCTCCCCGGGGGGGAGTGATTTCTCACTTTCTGTCTCTCTGTCTTTCTGGCAAGCGCTCAAGTCCTATAGTAAAAACCTCTCAAAAAAACCAAAAACAAAAACAAAAAACAAGAAACACAACAACAACAAAAAAACCACCAGATTTTACAAACCAAAACTCACACCAGGCGCATTTCTGCATACCCAAGATGCCGAGAGGAGAATGGAGAATGGATTGTGGCATGGTCATCCCTCTTTGGGGAGTGATTTCTTGCTTTCTGTCTCTCTGGCAAACACATATGCCCCATAATAAAAATCACTCTCAAAAAAAAATGTTTTTGCAAAACATTTCACCTGCCATGAGGTAACAGTGCAACCTCCCCTTCACCAGTGAGAACCGCCTACCTGAGACTGCTGTGTAGATTAAACAACTCCCTGAGAGTTAGTACTCACAAATGTGGCTATAATTATCATTGCTACCATTCAAGACAGTCACATGAGTGTTGAATGAAATATAATATAACCCAAACCACATAGTTTAAAATTCTCTAGTAGTCACATTTAAAAGGCAAGAAGAAATTTGTAAAATGTGGGGTCAGCAGGTGGCATGGTGAGTAAGGTGCTGGACTCCCATATGGCTGACTGTAGTTCAAGTCCCAGACCTAGCAGCTTGCTTTCTCACTTTTTCTTTCTCCCTGGTCAAATTAAAAAATAATTATAACAATTAAAATTAAGTAAATAATTCCTTTTTAAAAAAAGAAATTTGTACAATGAATTCTAATGATATACTTCATTTGGTCCAATATATCCAAAATATTATCATTTCAACATGTAATTCTTGAGGGAAGCTATGCTCTATTCTAGACTCCCAAAATATTCAGACAAGGTAAGGTGACCTCTGTCCTCTCTCTGTCTCTGGCTGTCTGCTCTCTGTCTGTCTCACACTCTCTCTCTCTTTAAATTTTTATTTTATTTATTTTTTTAATTTTCAACCACTTCTCCTCACCTTGGGCCTTTTCTTTCATTTGTCAATTTCAGAAACCATTTTAAAGCTGAGGTGTGTTCGTGCAGCACGACAGCAGCCCACGTGGTTTTCATTTTTTACATGTAAAAAATTTTTTTTTCTCTATCTTGTTAGCATTTTTCTAGTTTCCTTTCTTTTTGCTTTTGTTATTTTTAACCTTACTTTCCCACTCTAAGCTTCACTCTCCATACATGAAATGTCTAGATAGGCCTAGGTGCACAGTAGTCAAGCATCTGAATGCTTTTAGTCATTGAAACCTTCCATGCTTATTGAACTTCCTGCTTTAAGAAAGAAATTTCTTTTTATAAATCTGAACTCCTAATCTCTTTCTGTGGACACCACCTTACAAAGCACAGTGGAGGAGAGATTTTTGTCACAGAATGACCAGAAACCACCGCAGAGGCGCAAGAAACATGAGAAGTCAAGAAAATATCTCTGCCCTAAGGGAAAAGAATAATCTCTCATCATCCACAGACAGTACAGTAGAACTCTTGGAAATGTCTGATAGAGAATGCAGACTATTCGTAGTGACAAAACTAAATGAGATGCAAGAGCTGAGAGATAATGAACTCCAGAAGATGAAGGAGAAAAGAGATGAGTTCCAGGAGGTGTTGAAGTTCTTGCATGATCTGAAAGAGGAAATATACACCATGAAAAAGAATCAAATGCAGCTATTAGAGATGAAGGCTGCCATTCAGGAAATCAAAACCTCCCTTGAAAGAATTAAAAGCAGATTAGTCCATGCAGAAAATCGAATCTCGGATGTGGAAGGCAAAACCTCTGCTCTTGAAAAAACAACCAAAAAAAAAAATTGAGAAAATAACCCCCAAAAATGAGAATACTATATGAGAAATACTTGACAGCATTAAGGGTCCAAACATCTGGATAACTGGTATCCCAGAAGGTGAGGAAACTGATAAGGGCATTGATAATCTAGTCCATGAAATCTTGGAAGAAAACTTTCCAAATCTAGAGAGGCATGCAAATATCCAGACCCAAGAAATACAAAGGACCCCTAATAGAATCAACTCAAGAAGATCTTCTCCAAGGCACATCATAGCCACACTGGCCAAATCTATAGACAAAGGCAAAATACGAAAATTGGCGAGGGAGAAACGTCAGGTTAAAAAGGTTACCTGATCAGGCTAACCTCTGACCTCACATCAGAAACAATGCAAGCAAGCAAAGAATGGGAAAATATATTCTAAGTGTTAGATGGAAAACAGTTTCAACCAAGAATACTATACCTGGCAATATTATCTTTCATATGGAAAGAAAGAATAAAAAACATTCTCAGATAAACAAGACCTGAAAGAATTTGCCAATAGTAGATCCGCTCTTCAAGAAGTTCTGAAAGGAGTGCTCTACCAGAAAAACTAAACACACATACAGAAATAAGAGAACAAAAGACAACCAAGAAAATGACCACTTTAATGCTAGGGACAAGAAATATCAATAACAACATTGAATGTTAACTTCCAGAATTTATACAGAAAGACTGGACCACAGGAACACTACATATTCAACAGAAGAGAGTTTGAACATAAGACTGAAATTACGAAATAGAATTTTATGACTTTTGAGTAAAACTTATTTATTTTTACTATGCTTTGTTTTCTGAGTTTAATCATTTTACTTTCTTTCGAGTTGTTGATC